ATACTGCTTACCCCCATTGCTCTGTGACATTTGGGTTCCAGTCAAGAGATAGCAAGGTGTAAGCATTTTCACTTTGCTGCTGCCAAGGGAAGGCCAGAGCAGTCAAGTCTCACAGGAATGCCTTGAGCCTGGAAAAGCTTTGTAGGTACAAGAGGTCCATTACAAGAAGCAGCATGCTTATGTTGTTAGGTTGTATTGGTGAACATATCTGAAACAATTCCTCTGCTCTACCTGCCACTGCTGCCTCTGCTTCTAAGGAATCTACTAAGAGGCCAAATAAGTTGAGAAGAAGATCCAAATATGCAAGCCCCCAGGCACCAGGGTGAATAAGCTGATTATGATGGCTGTGATTGTTTCCAAGGAGCACAGAATAACTCTCTCAGTTCTGAAAAAGAAGCAGAATCTGTGGAATAGAGAAGAAAATAGCTTCACCGGGCTGGAGCTCTGTAGCCCTGTGGAGAAATGCAGCACAAGAGCATTTGGTATTTCTTGCTCCTTTAGGCTCAACAAAAAGCCAAGCAGAAGGTGCCTCAAAAGCAGTACAGATGATGGAGGATGTGCCGTTTGACTGGCATAGCCAATAAGTCCAGGATAGTCGTATTTGTGATGATTCCAAGGAAAGACAAGAAAATGAAAGCTATGTGGGTGAAGAAAGCAATCAAGAGTCTGCATAAGGTTAAAGCTGTCAGACTCCAAAAGACAGCAAAAATGCCAGCAGTGAAACCCAAGGCTGCCACAATCAAGGCACAGAAATGGAAAGTGGTTAAGGTCATGGATTCAATAATTGATTTTCACTTTTTTTTTTCCCAAAGGAAAATAAAACTTCAATTAATAATTTTTGAAAATTCCTTTATTCGCAATTAAAAATAAGCATCATATGAACTATAAAGTTCCTTTTTGCTATTTTCTTCCATTATTTATAGCAGGATAACAGAAAAGATGGAGCCAGACTTTCCTCAGAGGTGCAAAGCAAAAGGAGAAGAGGCAGTAGACACAAGCTACAAAACAGGAATTTCTAATTTGACATAAGGAAAATGCAGAATATGATGCAACATTGTAACAGGCAATTACAGAGGTTGCAAACCTGGAGATTTTTCAAAACTCAATTGGATAAGGTCCTGATTAACTTTGAAGCTACGCTTGCTTGTTAACTTCCACATAATTTTAATTATGATCCTAACTGGGAAGGTATACTATCTCCTTATGGACATTTATTTTAAAAAACGTACAGTTCCATGTTCATTTATTCTTTCATTTTGGCAGGTGAAGTTGACAACTGGCCACATATGGAGAAATTTACACTGTCAAACAATGTCAGACTGTGTGAAGCAGGAGTAAATGTAATGGAATAATTCACCTTAACTTTAAATCCTTTTTTGATTTCAATACAGCTATTCTTTATGCATTGGGAGTTTTCTTCTTGGATGTATTGCAAGCATGTCTCCTCTTTGTAAAGGACAAACCCACAGCCTAATGAGCAGCATGCTCTTTAGGAATTCCTCCAAAATGACAGAAATGATGACACCACACTTTGTCCACAACCTGGATTCTTGTGCATGAGATCTACGCAACATGAAGCTTCTATGTGATAGCTCCCACCTTACTCCCACCATCCTCTTCACCTTCTTTCTTGCTGTGAGATGAATACGTGAACAAAGAAGAAAGACTGAGAAGAGAATGAGAGAAATAAAGGCAGAGAGCAAAGAGGAGAAGAAATGGGAGGGTGGAACTCCCCTTGCTTTCTAGGCACAGTGCCTGCCTGTGTGATTGACTCCCCTTCAAGGGGAATTCCAGCCCCTAGCAAAACAAGGTAGCACTTCAGGCTGAGGGGTAGGCACTAGAGCACTGGCCACAGCAGCTCCAAAGCTAATGACACTCATCAGTAAACAGGAAGAGTGACAGCAAAATGAGCAAAAACAGTCCTTGTGTGGGAAGTGACTACAGGCCAGCTCCAGGTTTGAACAGTTTATGAAAATCAGCCACGAACTCTTGGTCACACTTCTAAAATGGGACTCTAGCACCATTCTTTGTGGCCAAAGGTTATAAGAAACAATGTTAGGTGGAACTGTGTTTAAAGCCATTTCCCCAATTTACAAAAGAAGGTACCAGAAGCAGAGTGCTGAGAGTCCGAAATGACCAGAGAAAGGCAAATACTAATACATAGTACTAAGAGTATGGAGGCTGAAATGACAAGGGATATAAATCAATCTATGGCATAAATGCTGGTGAAGACGAGGGTCTCCAGAACCTTAAAAACAAGGGATGACTAAATGGAAAAAGACAATAGTGTTAAACCAGATAACGTTGTACTCTGCTCACACAGACTGTGGAATGTGTTGATACCAAGACATTACAAGAACTCATGAGACAAAGCAGTATCAGGAATATATGGATGTGAACAACATTTATGGCCACTCCGGCTGACGTAGTTATTACTATAGTATTTTGAGACAGGAACTCAGCAGCATTAGCCAAGAAGAAATATTGACTCCAAGGGACAGCATTGTACAATGAGGTCCATTGCATGCTCCAATCCTGAAGAATTATGGGCCACTGTTAGAAGCACTTTAATGGGGAATTTGGGCCGCCGCCACCTTTGTTCTAGAAATGCAGCTAAAGGCAACTCAGTCCTCTTGACTTCTTGCACAGGAAAAAAATACTCTATGGAATCTCTTGTGCTCTGGGTGTTACATCTTTGTGGCTGATCTATAACATGCATGCAGTATCTTTTGAATCTAGGGAAAGGTAGAGATTCAAGGAAAGAGGGTTTTTTTCATAATCCTCTTGACCTAAACGTATTTTTTTAATGTAGTCAATGGATCTTTCAGCTGTTGCTACTTTGTGCCACAGCTTTTGTTTTACTTCAACCATCTTATCATCATATTTGCGGATGGTAATTCTTCATTAGAAACTCAGGACACATCTTTAGTGAGAACATGTGTCCTTAGCATGAATATCATTGATTGGAAGGAGTTGTCCCTGTGCTTGAATTGCCAGCAGCTACCAACTGTCTGGAAAAACTAGCACAAT